TTGAAGAGGCGGGGCCAGGAGCTTGAACTCGACCCCTGCAACCTCAACTAGGTGAGTAACTAGGTGAGTACACACACATATACACGCACGCACACACACACACACACACACACACACACACACACACACACACACACACACACACACACACACACACACACACACACACACACACATACACACGCACACAAAGACAAGACAAGGTGGACAAAGACAGGATGTTCCAGGGAGGGGACACAGAAACAAGAGGCCACAATTGGAAGTTGAAGACACAAATGAGTCAGAGAGATATTAGGAAGTATTTCTTCAGTCATAGAGTTGTCAGGCAGTGGAATAGCCTAGAAAATGACGTAGTGAAGGCAGGAACCATACACAGTTTTAAGACGAGGTTTGATAAAGCTCATGGAGCGGGGAGAGAGAGGGCCCAGTATCAACCGGTGAAGAGGCTGGGCCAGGAGCTAAGACTCGACCCCTGCAACCACAAATAGCTAAGTACACACACACACAAACACACACACATATACGTGTAGAACAACCTCTGTGAAAAAAATAGTGATATTCCATGCGTGATTTCTTGACTTCTCACATTATCAAGGAACTGTTAATGTGAGAAATCACGAAATCACTTGTAATTTCACTACTTTTTTCACAGTGGTTGTTCTGCCTAATGTAATATCACCTGTTTACTGTGATCTTATTGCGTAAGACCACACTAGTATGAGTGTATATTTTGTATACATTAAGTACGTTCAAGTTTATGAAGAGAGGAGGAGCGTGTTGTCTGGCACTGGAACGGGTGATAGTTCACGTAAGGGCTTGTTGTTGTGTTATTAATGGTTCTAGGTGATTAGGTGTAGTAGATCCCCAGGCACAATTACTATAGGTGAGGTGAGGATATTGTAGGCAGGTGTTAACCTATGTAGTCACACACGTGTATTCCCATGCAGTCTGCTGTCCCAGAGATAGATTTTTTTTTAGATTTTGCCACCGAAGTGGCTAGTTTATTGTGCACCCCATATCCATCCTGTGGACGGTAGCGCAAGAGCATATGGATACACAAAAGCCTAGGAACTAGGCCCCAAAAAGGTTAACAGGAATACATATGGATTTATTTCTACATATCTACAGTTCACTTATCTGTTACAAGCAAATTTAGGGAATTTGCTTAGTTTATCTGGTATCTTATTTTCATTAATAAGATATCTTGACATGTCACATAGGTTATTATACTGTCTATCTCTATATTCCTCAATAAGTGGACAATTAAGCACATAGTGTTCAAGACAGTGACCATATGCATGATCACATAATTTAAATTTAGTTTGATCATCATCTGTGTGTCCCAAACTGCCAGAAATACTTATAACCAAGACTAAGCCTGGCTACTACAACATCAGTCAGTCTGTTCACATTGTAAGTTGCTCCATAAACATACATATCTACGTTCATGTTATCATAATGGGTTATAATTCTACTCAGGCTTCTAACTGCATTCCTATAATATTCAGTTTCATTATTTACTTCTCTCCTAATATTATTCCTAATGCTAGAAACTGATATACCAAAGTTATATTCTACATTCTCCTTCTGGGTACTCTTCTTGGCTAACATATCAACTTTATCATGAAGGAGTAATCCAATGTGTGATGGGATCCATAGCAATTATACATTAATTCCTTTGTCCCTAATTTTTGAGTATCTGTACCTGGCTTCTCCAATGAGTACCATCAATATACGCTATTATTATTATTATTATTATTATTATTATTATTATTATTAGTATCATAAACTTTACTTTTATCCAGTAAGTTTATGTTTGTGCAATACAGATACAATGTGTAAGAATAAGCAATATATTGTAATAATGTGTAAGAATAAGCAATGTATTGTAATTGTGATTATTGCGAATCAATTAAATTTTACTAATCTCCGAATAAAATAAAATAATAATTATAAATTACCAATGCTTCTTTAGCTTGAAAGTTTAAGAAAGGATGTACAGTCCTTGAGTACCTCTGCACGACGTATGATATCATACGTTATAGGTGACGAGTGTTCTTCCTCATGTATGAGTGGGCAGTGTCCTCTGAGAAGACGCAAACTTTAACTCGATAATAGAACTGACACTAACGTCGTAATAGGATTCTTTCTAAGGGTAAGTAGGATATGCAGTCCACCGTTCATTACACAACCTCTCAAATTACTGCCCTTCTATCTTCACGAAACGTTTCTTTAATAAATGTCTTGAGATGTGTATGTGTGTCTTTATCTACATACTGTCAGTATCGCCATAACTTTCCGGTCACTAAAATTTAAGCAGTGACTCCCTTATAACCCAAAATGACAAATAAAACAATGTTTTTAAGTGTGGATGTAAAGAATAAACATAGTTATCTTGTTACTAATGTACTAAGTCATGAATATATTATTAAGAGGCAATTACTGGGTTGAAAAAGGTACGACATGTGCAGCCCAGGGCGCGGGTACGACATGTGCAGCCCAGGGCGCGGGTACGACATGTGCAGCCCAGGGCGCGGGTGCGACATGTGCAGTGCTGTGAGGGTGGCCCGGTGGCCTGGTGGCTAAAGCTCCCGCTTCACACACGGAGGGCCCGGCCCGGGTTCGATTCCCAGCGGGTGGAAACATTTCGACACGTTTCTTTACACCTGTTGTTGTCCTGTTCACCTAGCAGCAAATAGGTACCTGAGCAAATAGGTACCTGGGTGTTAGTCGACTGGTGTGGGTCGCATCCTGGGGGACAAGATTGAGGACCACAGTGGAAACAAGTTAGACAGTCCTCGATGACGCACTGACTTTCTTGGGTTATCCTGGGTGGCTAACCCTCCGGGGTTAAAAATCTGAACGAAATCTCATCTCTCTTAGTGGTGGTGGGAATGGTGGTAGGTGTGGTGGTGGTGGTGATGCTCAGCTGATGTTCAAATAAGGAGGAAAACTCGATGTAAACTCCTGAGAGTCAGCTGTGATCCACGTCGCTCTCCAGACACCTAGCGAGATTATACTGGGACGGGATGCTTGTGCCTGTGTCTAGCCTAGTGTGAAGTAATGGGTGAGTCGTGTAGCCCTATGTGTATAACCTAGTGCGAAGTAATGAGTGGGTCGTGTAGCCCTGTGTGTCTAGCCTAGTGTGAAGTAAGGGGTGGGTCGTGTAGCCCTGTGTGTATAGCCTAGTGTGAAGTAAGGGGTGGGTCGTGTAGCCCTGTGTGTTTAGCCTAGTGTGAAGTAAGGGGTGGGTCGTGTAGCCCTGTATGTCTAGCCTAATGTGAAGTAAGGGGTGGGTCGTGTAGCCCTGTGTGTCTAGCCTAGTGTGAAGTAAGGGGTGGGTCGTGTAGCCCTGTATGTCTAGCCTAATGTGAAGTAAGGGGTGGGTCGTGTAGCCCTGTGTGTCTAGCCTAGTGTGAAGTAAGGGGTGGGTCGTGTAGCCCTGTGTGTCTAGCCTAGTGTGAAGTAAGGGGTGGGTCGTTTAGCCCTGTGTGTCTAGCCTAGTGTGAAGTAAGGGGTGGGTCGTGTAGTTTGGTGGGGTGATGGCTGGGTCATGTCTGGCCTAAAGGAGTGACGGGTGGGTCATGTATGTCTATGGAATGAAGTGCAGGTAGTGCTTTTGACTTTGTGAAATGTGGTGGGGGTCGTGTAGGCCTGTAAGTGATTGACATTGCTAAGTGACGGGGAAGGAAAGTAGGGGGACGGGTAGGGTTCTTGTACGTGGGTGTACAAAAGACAGACAACAGAAAACTTGTAAGCCCATACCGAGGGGTATCTAAGAAAAACTATCTAGATTAGGGACTATTAAAAACTATCTCGTATTATCGATATAAATGAAACAAGAATAAAAAAGCAGAAGGCTTTATCCCCACTCATTCTCTGTTGGAGTGAAAAACTGGGTTGGGGAGGATTATACCATATACTGAAAAATAACAAAATGGAATTTACAAGAGAGATGAAATTGGATGGAAGAAGTGGATTACATCTACCTCTATTAAATAATACTGATTCTATCTTACTACTGGTGTTATTGCACTGCCACTCACAGAGTTGTGTGTATTAGTGGTTCTACTTCTGGTTACCATCAGTTCTGCTAAGACTATCACATCCCTCTGCCTCTACCATTACTTTCATTACTGACTCAGCTGCCTCGCTGTCAGCTGATCGTTCAGGTGCAGTCGTTATAAATCGTTAGGAATCGGTTGACTTCACTTTTCCCAGTGTGTTGTATATATATGACGGTTAGTGCAGGTTTTCGAGTGTATTTAGTAATGGCAGTGTAGGCCTGTTTGTGGCCTAGAGGAGTGAGAGGTTAGTTCCCACAAGTGACTCAGTGCATCAGTGATCAAATAATTAGAACCTACACGCTAGGACCTACCTATATTTACATTATTATAATCAAAACCATGCGCTAAACCCACATGGGCCTATATTTACATAATTCTTAAATAAAATGTATTCTGCTAACAATATTCACATCAGTTGTCATTCGATAGTAGTTCTTCACAAGTGAAATAACCCAAATGAAAAGCAAATTATATTTTGTAATGTAATAATATGTAATAATGTAATAATGTAATAATCACGAACAAGCCATACAAGATGCAAAACAACCACAGGGGGAGTTGAATGATAGCTCTGGGCCTTTCGTGTTGCAATCAACGCATCAGAAGCTTGCAGTATTGCAGAAATGAGTAGGAAGTCCCAGCAGATCCTTGCAGAGGAACGTTTTTACTGATTAAAAACGTTCCTCTGAACAGATCTGCTGGGCCTTTCTACTAATTTCTTTCTGCAACACTGCAAGCTCCTGATGATGTGTTGATTGCAACACGAGAGGCCTAGAGCTATCATTCAATTCCCCCTGTGGATGTTTTGCATCTTGTATGGCTTGTCCGCGATTATTGCACTACAAAATATAATTAAAACTAATTTTGATCTACATTGTAATAAGTCTATCAGATATTAGCAATTCTGTCTTTTGTTATTACTGAGTGATTGTGGACTGTGTTTCTCCCGTTGATCTGAAAAGAGACAAGGAGTAACATGATGTCATTCTTGGAAACACAAGATTTTTCATTATGATCCTCTTAATATATGTACGAAACATCGACAGTTCTTCTTCAATTTGTATGTTATGTGAATAATGACTTGATAATGTGGGTGGAAAAACAGTGATATTAAGTGTGTGTGTTGTGTGTGTGTGATCTTGATGACAAGCCCTACCACATCCATGACTTCATTTGAGAGTAATACAATCGGAGACGAGGAAGCCAACGTGGAACAGGTCGTCCCAGCACTGCTAACACTAGAGAGGAAGTCTGACCTGCGCAGGTCCCTGCTGCTCATCGTGGTCTACATGCTGATGGAGGTAAGTAACAAACATGTAGGGCACTGTAGAGATGTTTAGTGAGGGCGTGTAGAGTGATCTGTCTCTAGGAGACATTGACATTTATGTTTAACATAAATGAAGCTAAATGAAGCAAGAAATGAATCAGGGTTGCACATTTCGACATAACAATGAGGTCCTATCCAGCAAAGGACCTCAGATAGATGTCAGAATATGCAACTCATTTTTTTTTGTCTTATTTATGTTTTCAAGTGGGTTCGTCTATTCCCACTAACTGGTGCTCATGACATTGTTAACACTGTATAAATGTTTAAGGACAGTTATAATAGTGGGTTACATGTATGGGTGAGTCTTCTTTCACCCGATACCCTAGTTCACATAGCAGTAAATAGGTACTGTTGTACTAGCTAAATATTAAAATGGTATACAATACCTATAGGTTGGTAAGTAAGACAATGTGTAACAGGTAAGTACCTTAATTCCGAAAGTTTCGCCTGCACAGTAGGCTTCTTCAGTCGAGTATAGAAAAGTTGGCAGAAGCAGTAGAAATGTGAAGACCATACAATCAGTCCATCACCCATGACTGTCGTGGATAGTTTAGATACAGCCTAGGAATGACCTAATATAGAATAAAAGCGCTTGGCCTGTAAAAAATGTGCACTTAACTACTGTCTTTTATTGGTTCGATCCCCGGCAAGGGTAAAAACATTGGGCGTGTTTCCTGACTCCTGTTGTTCCCGTTCACCTAGCAAGTAAGTAGGTACTTGGCTGTTAGTCGACTGGTGTGGGTAGCATCCTGGAGGACAAGATTGAAGGACCCCAATGGAAATAAGACAGACAGTCCTCGATGACGCACTCACTTTCTTGGGTTATCCTAGGTGGCTAACCCTCCGAGATTAAAGGTCTGAATAAAATCTTATCTCTCTGATAACCTACCCCTCTTCCCCAACACAAGTTAAGTTAGGTTAGGTATAAAAATCACAAACGATGACACTAATGAATGCAATTACAGACTGGGAAGCAAATGAGCAATTTTCATCTATCGATAAGCAGCGAGGACGAGGTTCCTGTGTCCTCTACATTCATCGTCCTCCTCACAGAACTCACGAAGCTCATCATCGTTCTCTTCTGGGCAGCGGTAAGCTGTGTGTTACTCGCACTCTTATATTCCAAACATCTTTAGTGGCACCTTATTGTATTACACTCTATGAAGCTACAGAATCTGTAAGGATAGTTTAACACTCGGAGTGGTGGAGGATGTTACCTGTTATGCATCCTGCATCAGGATTTCATTTGTCACGCTTCCTGCGTCAGGATGCTGTCTCTCACGCATCCTGACGCAGACGGCAGGCCACACTGGCGTCATGGAAACCGGGAGGTCAGTTCCCAGGTACGCACCATTACATTGCATGTTTTATCTAGCTGTTAACTGAAGTAGGATAGAGCTTCCAATATTTCACAACTCTTTAATCAGTTTTCTTTTTTATCATCTGCCTGGCAGGTGAGTCAGGCACCGGTGTCCAGGTGGCGGCCCTCCTGCACCTTCAGCGTGCCAGCACTCTGCTACTTCTTTACCAATATCCTCTACCTCGTCTCCCTTAGAACAGTCACTCCGCCACTGTGGATGCTGCTCATCCAGACTCGCACTCTCTACACAGCCGCCTCCTACCTGGTAGGTCCAGTGTACACACAACTGCTTATTCTTTATAATTATGAGCTAAACCCGTAGGTAGGGGATTATTGGTGAAAATTGGGGGAAAACTAAAATACCGGGTTTCATGTGATAATTGGTGAATGCCTCATCCGATCAGCTTCAAACCTTCAACGCCCATAACTTGGCGTCGAAGGTTTGGGATACTGGTCTCTGTGTGTTAACTAGGGACTGCCTCTTCCGATTGATTTTAGACTTTCAGAGCTAGTGTTTCACAGTGAAAGCTTCACAGTTAGTTTTGAGTCGTATACCTGGAGTATATCTTGAGAGGATTTCGGGGGTCAACGCCCCCGAGGCCCGGTCTATGACCAGAAAGCGAAACTTTGCCATTGTTTTTAATTGAAGGAATTGTACTCTTAATTTCCATGTGATACCTTGTGTGTGTTCCTGCTGACTGGCCACAGATCTTCAACGTCGATATTTAACTGCATTAGAACATAAGAATTAAGGAGCACTGAAGCAGGCCTACTGGATGAGACAGCGAGTCCACGACTGAATAAAAAAAGACTGGATAAAAAAGACTGGATAGAAAAGACTGGATAAAAAGAGAAGATTGATTAGAAAGATGACTGGAAAAAAAAAGTCGCTCAAAGAAAGCTTCGTCAATTTATTATTATTATTATTATTATTATTATTATTATTATTATTATTATTATTATTATTATTATTATTATTATTATTATTATTATAACAATAGTAATCTTCACATCCGGACCCTGGGGCCACAGATGGTGTTCGGTCGGAAGATGACGTGGGTACAGATGGTGGGTTGCCTGCTGCTGGTGGGCAGCGTAGCGCTGGCTAGGACGTCTCAGCTGCTCCCCGGCAGCCGCACCTCCGTCACCTCCGCCGTCCTGGTCTACTCGCAATTGTGCGCTCTCCTCTCTACTGCCGCTTCTGTCGCCGTCGAGGTGAGTTACTATGTGGACCAGCGATATTACAACTGCCATGACTACAATATTAATGGAATCTACAGGAGGACCCCGCTTATACAACAGGTTAGGTTCCTGGCTACTGCTGCAAAGCAAAAATCACTGTAAAGTGAAACATAGCTTTTTTCACTTTCAAATACATATGACAGCCTGATAACATGCTTACATTATCATATATTAAGTGAGCAATAGAACCTAGCTCTAACATATTATTATTATTATTATAATCATGAGGGAGTGCTAAAACCATAGGATTATACAGCACATTGGGGGGGGGGTTATGGAAGGCATTCAGGCTCAATACAGGGAACTGGAGCACAGATCCAATTCCCTAGATCAAGAGCCCCTCACCAGCATCAAGGAACCTCCCTTGAGGGGTGCTCTAATATAAAATACATAATATATGATAATGTGAACATGTTATCAGGCCGTCATATACATTTGAAAGCGAAAAAAGGCTATGTTCACTTTACAGAGATTTTCGTTTTACATCAGTGATAATTGCTTACTTTAAAATATTTTCGTCATTAGCATACAGTGAGTGGTGAATATATTTATTGTAGGTAGTCTGAATAAATGAAGAATGAGTATTATTGAAAACTGCCGCATTAGTGAAATGCCGTAAAGCAAGGTGCTGTAAAGTGGGGCCTGCTGTATTTATATGAACTGCCAGAGGATAATGGTGAAATTCGCGGCTCTGATCTAGTATCTCTAGAAGAGAACCTATTAAAAACGACGCCCTCTTCCCTGCTGCAGCTGCTGCTGAAGAACAACGAGCGAAGCTTCTGCGAGCAACAGGCGTGGTTGTACCTGTGGGGATCGCTTCTGGGGGCCATAACTCTTCCTCTTCAGTTGGACTACAACTCATTGACGTCTCTTCTGCAGGTGAGTCTCCTCGTCAGGAGGGGCATCCTACTGCCAAGGCACTGCGTGCTTCCTACAGGCTTAGCGTGATAACAACGTCTCGAGTCCAGGCTCTATGTTTGGTCAACCACGTCCCATAAACAATGCATCTAGAGTAACGATGTGAGAAGTCCACTAATAAGGCTCTTGAAGGTGGATCACGGGGATTCATGTGTATTACCTGGAATATACCTGGAGAGAGTTTCGAGGGTCAACGCCCCCGTGGCCCGGTCTGAGACCAGACCTCATGGTGGATCAGGGTCTGATCTGGTCTGGGCAAGTATTAAAGCAGTGGGGGTCCCTCCAGCGCCTGGACCACCGTAATTTCTCATTCTCATCTTTATTTTTATCTTTTTGTTAATTATATTTCATTAATTTTACTTGTATATTATCATTATTGTTATTCTCATTATTGTTATTATTATTGTTATTATTGATGTTATTATTTTTATCATCACACAGAGTGTAATATGGAGTTCGACTCTCCTGCTACGGGTTCTGGCTGCTGTGGTGGCATCAGCCTTGGCCGGACTGTGTGTTCCTCTCATTATCAGGAACCTCGACAGCATTGTTAAGGCAATATATATCACTATAACATTTAATTTACTAAAATGTATTCCATTATTTTCAAAATCTGCAAGTGATAAATTAATTAACGCGGACTTCCACGTGACTGAACTAATACTTAACGTGAACATTACCAATAACCCACTATGATCCTGTATTAAGTAGTCTTTGACCACAGGACTACCTGGCGGCTCTCAACAACCTTCTGCTGTCAGTGGTGACGGCAGTGGTGTTCCCCGTCCACTTCACCATCACCTGGGTCTTCTGTCTCTCCCTCGTCCTGCTGCTCCTCGGTATTTGGCTCTACGAGAGGAAGGTCCTTTGCCACAAATCATGATCCTACCAGCATTTGGTGGGCAGAAGACATTCTTAAAAAAACAAAACAGCTGTGAATATTTAAAGGCACATTATTATTATTATAATCAAGGGGAAGCGCTAAACCCGGAGGATTATACAGCGCGTGGGGGGGGGGGGAATGTGGAAGGCATTCAGGGTTAATTCGGGGAACTGGAGCACACATCCAATTTCCTAAATCAAGAGCCCCTCACCAACATTAAGGAACCTTCCTTGAGGGGATTTAAAGGCACAATAGTAATGAATATTTGCGATGTTACCTGAAGGTGTCGTGTCCTAGAGGACACAGCAAGTTCATGCTGTCTCTAAATCAATGTTCCATGACGCATTTTCTGTATTGGGAATTAATCATATTATGTGTACAAGTATTCAAGACGTGTGTGGAGGTATGTGCTACCGGAGGAAACTATATTAAATTAATGCAATGCGAAAAAAGTACCACAGTGAAAATAGGAAAAAAAAAACCTGAGGGCTTTCATGTGTTTACACACATATCTTCAGAGGATGTGTGTAAACACATGAAAGCGCTCACGTTTTATTTTCTATTTTCACTATGGTATATTTTTTCATATTTGCAATCACGCATTTTATTGTGATTTCTTCCTTAATGCAATATATTTAAATATACCTTACAACATAGGTATGTAAAAAGTACAGTGAATATAAGATTAATAAAACAAAATAAACCAAAATTCACCGTATTTACTAAACCCCATTACTGAGAATGTTCTCAGTATGAATATAGTGTATATATATATATATATATATATATATATATATATATATATATATATATATATATATTATATATATATATATATATACATTATATATATATATATATATATACATATATATATATATATATATATATATATATATATATATATATATATATATATATATATATATATATATATATATATATACACATTATATATATATACACATGTGAAATCATCTCAGTCAGTCAACAAGTGATAAATGCAGTGAGATCAAAACTACCAGGAGCAGCAGTCATTGCCCCCACAAATAGTGTCTTGCTAGGAGCACCTCTGGGAAGCAATGCCATTGACACAATTCTCAGGAAGAAATTGGAAGAGTTAAGGAGAATGGAACAACGAATTGGCAATCTGGACACCCACGATGCCTTGTACCTTCTCACAAAGTGCTTGAGTCTGCCCAGGTTGACATATTTCCTAAGATGTGCACCTTCATATGATAACCCTATACTGCACGAATATGACAGTATTCTGAGGCAGATTTTTACGAAAGTACTTAACCTTAATCTAGAAGACGGGCAGTGGAACCAAGCTACACTTCCAGTCAGACTAGGAGGCATTGGTGTCCGCAAGTCATCACAGATTGCGTTACCTGCTTTTCTGTCCTCGTGTATTGCATCCAGAGAGCTTGTAGCAGCGATTCTCCCTGAACATCTTAGGGACAAGATTGGAGTCCAGGACCAAAAATTCATTGACGGAGCAATGATCTGGGATAATCTAACGGGCTCAGAAACCAGACCTGCTCCCCCCAACAACTACAAACAATCGCACTGGGATGGTCCAATAGTGGAAAATATAGCCTCAACGATGCTTCAGAGTGTGTCAGGGAAGGATAGAGCCCGCCTGCTGGCAGTGAGAGCCCCTCATGCTGGGGACTTTCTGTTGGCTGTTCCCAACTCCAGCCTTGGCACACGGCTCGACCCACAGACCATCCGCATCGGTGTTGCCCTTCGACTTGCCGCCCCTATTCTCGCCGAACACAGGTGTATTTGTGGCAGTGAAACAGCAGACCGATTCGGGTACCATGGTCTTGTGTGCCGTAAATCCGAGGGAAAGATTGCAAGACATGAGGAGGTTAATAACATTATCAAGAGGAGCCTCACAACAGCTGGATGCCCAGCAGTAAGGGAGCCACCGCAACTATGCAGATCTGACGGCAGCCAGAAGCGTCCAGATGGTATCACCCTTCAAGCCTGGACAGATGGGAAGCAGGTGGTGTGGGACTATACATGTGCATCTACCTTGGCTGATACCTATCTCCAATACACCAGGGAGGAAGGAGGGGCAGCTGCCAGCTTTAGGGAGTCCCAAAAGTCTAGAAAATATGGAGAACTTGCCATCATTATATGTTTGTTCCCATAGGCTCAGAGACCCTTGGCTCATGGGGAAAGAGTGCATCTAATTTCCTTAAGGAGCTGGGAAAAAGACTCATCAGGGTAACTAGGGATCCCAGGGCAGCTAGTTTTCTGTTCCAGCGGCTCAGTGCGGCTGTTCAAAGGGGTAATGCATGCTGCATTTTGGGCACACGCCCCAGCTCTGAGGAACTGGATGAGATTTTCGCCTTATAATCGGTGATACACACGTAACAACATGTACCGTATATGCCACCTTTATATCAACAATGTATCTCTTAAATCTTCTGTACCATATTATGTAATAAAATATTCCTATTGGTAAAAAAAAATAGTTTAAAAGATGGGGTGGTAGGGGAAGTGGAATATTCAAATGGCTTCAGGAAGAAATCCAAATATTCTTCCTTGAAGCCTTTTTATCCACTTCTCCGAGGCTATGGGTCCCACAATTTACACCAGAGGTGGACCCCATCATATACACATTATATATATATATATATATATACATTATATATATATATATAAATATATATATATATATATATACATTATATATATATATATACATATAATATATATATATATATATATATATATATAATATTGTATGTATATATATATATATATATATATATATATATATATATATATATATATATGTATATATATATATATATATATATATATATATATATATATATATATATATATATATATATGTATGTATATATATATATATATATATATATATATGTATGTATATATATATATATATATATATATATATATATATATATATATATATATATATATATATGTATATATATATATATATATATGTATATACATTATATATATATATATATATATATATATATATATATATATATATATATATATATATATATATGTATGTATAAATTCGGGTTTCTACTGTGTTAATTTATTGTTTTGGTGTCACTGTGCCTCTGAAAATTCTAGGTACGTTCTTGAAGCATCTACAAGTTGGCCGCTGTGCGCTCTAGCATGGTTATATCCGGTCATCTCTCACCATCTCATTTGATCCTCAAAAAGACACATTACTTTTTTACCGTTTTTTAGTACCGTTAATATACACAGCGATGTGAGTCAGTGCGTTCATGAGGCGCATGTGTACACAGTGATGTGAGAGTACGTTCATGAGGCTCATGTGTACACAATGATGTGAGTCAGTATGTTCATGAGGCGCATTTGTACTCAGTGATGTGAGTCAGTACGTTCATGAGGCGCATGTGTACACAGTGATGTGAGTCAGTATGTTCATGAGGCACATGTGTACATAGTGATGTGAGTCAGTATGTTCATGAGGCACATGTGTACACAGTGATGTGAGTCAGTATGTTCATGAGGCACATGTGTACATAGTGATGTGAGTCAGTACGTTCATGAGGCACATGTGTACACAGTGATGTGAGTCAGTACGTTCATGAGGCACATGTGTACACAGTGATGTGAGTCAGTATGTTCATGAGGCACATGTGTACACAGTGATGTGAGTCAGTATGTTCATGAGGCACATGTGTACATAGTGATGTGAGTCAGTATGTTCATGAGTCACATGTGTACACAGTGATGTGAGTCAGTACGTTCATGAGGCGCATGTGTACACAGTGATGTGAGTCAGTATGTTCATGAGGCGCATGTGTACATAGTGATGTGAGTCAGTATGTTCATGAGTCACATGTGTACACAGTGATGTGAGTCAGTACGTTCATGAGGCGCATGTGTACACAGTGATGTGAGTCAGTACGTTCATGAGGCACATGTGTACACAGTGATGTGAGTCAGTACGTTCATGAGGCACATGTGTACACAGTGATGTGAGTCAGTATGTTTATGAGGCACATGTGTGCACAGTGATGTGAGTCAGTACGTTCATGAGGCACATGTGTACACAGTGATGTGAGTTAGTACGTTCATGAGGCGTATGTGTACACAGTGATGTGAGTCAGTATGTTTATGAGGCACATGTGTACATAGTGATGTGAGTCAGTACGTTCATGAGGTGCATGTGTACACAGTGATATGAGTCAGTACATTCATGAGGAGCATGTGTACACAGTGATGTGAGTCAGTACGTTCATGAGGCGCATGTGTACACAGTGATGTGAGTCAGTACTTTCATGAGGCGCATGTGTACAGTGATGTGAGTCAGTACGTTCATGAGGCACATGTGTACACGGTGATGTGAGAGTCAGTTTCTATTTATTTTCTGGTCAGTTATGTCATGTTATATCTGGGGAGGACGGTGTGGTGGCCCCAGATGACTCTGGGCAAAGTTCCTCAACTGAACTACACAGAGGCGCACGCAAGTCCATGGCTATATTTGTATAGTGAGGATGGAAGATATTAAAGCAAAGGATGGTAGTTGCTTTAGACCATCTAGGTACTGAAAGGGCAAGAAAAGTGGCTTAAGTAGAAGGTTAAGTGTAAAGTGATAGAGGAACAGGATTGTAAAGAGCTCAGTAGAGGTTTTGAAGGTTGTGAAGGCGTCTGATAGTGTCGTCAAGGAAGGAAGTCCATGAGTCAGTATGTCTCAAGTCTGTTAAGTTGTTTGTTACTTAGTGTTTTGCAGAAGACGTTAAGAGCTGGTATACCAGTCCTGATATGGAGTGACTCGCCGTGGTATAGTCCTGCCGTCTCACGTCCAACACCCAGCGCAACGTCCGGTTCTGGATTCGTTGTAGCCTTTGAGCATTAGTCTTGCAGTCAGAGTTAGAGAAAAAACAGTGTATGTGATAAGTGGTCCGATTAAAGCAATGTGAATGTATAGGTAGAGTTTTGTGCACCTCTCAGCTTATAAAGCTGAGAGAGTGCAATTCCCGCCACAACTGTCTTAGGTGTGATGTGAGTTTTCATGTGTAGCCTGCAGTCAAGGCTGACTCCAAGTACTATTGTGGATGAAGTGTGTGGTATAAATGTTCGTGAGAGAGTAGTTCTGAGTTCGACAGGAGTAGGGATGCCATGTCTATGATGGAAATAAGTTATTTTAGACTTGTTGGCATTGGTCTTAATACTTCGTAATAGTTTTCATTCTCTAATCCTGTCTACCCCGTGTTGTGTTCTTTTGTGAGCTGCCTGTGACCTGCAGCTCAGGGGTAGACTGTTACAACCGAGAGGACTCATCTCTCTGTCTCTCTGTCTCTCTCTCTCTCTCTCTCTCTCTGACGTAAAGCTAATCCAGGCAACAGATGGCGCTGAGAAGCAAAACCCCCTTCAATAAAAACACGAATTAATTTACGGTAGTTACCAACGTGGTGTTATAAAATTTTCGTGCATCATTACCACTGTGTATTATTCTGAGTAGCGCAGTGTGTGTCTCCACGCTCGACCAGGAAGACACAGTTACCCTTGTTGGCGGACAAGAGAAGTTCGAGAGACGACAAATTTCATCCCCTTGCCCACGAGAAATCATCCGCCACCATGTCGTCAGAGACGGAGAGCAGCATCGACTGTCTGGACAGCAGTCTCGTCTACCTTAAAATTGGTGAAAGCACTCTGGAGGAACTTGCTCACTCGCTTATCAAGTGTACAGGTAATGTAGCTGTACCGGAGTTTGTGGCTGTGTAGCTGTATACCTGGAGAATACCTGCAGGGTGTTTCGCAGGTCAATGCCCCCGCGGCCCGGTCCATGACCAGGCCTCGCAGCGGCTCAGGACATGATCAACCAGGCTGTTACTGCCGTACCGGGAATAGCTTGGCTGCGAACATAGGATGTCTGGCGTCTAGCGGACGAAGGATCGAACCACGGTCTTGTGTTTAATGATAATTACGGATTTAGCGCTTCACTCAATCGTAATTTAAATTGTGTTAAGAGGGTGTATACAAATAAACACTTGTGAAGTGAATATCTGTATATATTGTTTGTGATAAACCCGTCAGGGAGCCTTCATGCAGGTGATGGACTCTTGGTGAAAAAAAAGTATTAAATATTCCCTGTGTTCGAACCTCAATGCCTCCCATTCCTTTAGTTTCTCGTTGATTAAAATTAAATTTAGGGCCACAATCATAACAGCAGTGTTTGTGTCGTGGCAGAGCTGGGCCTGACAGCGTTGACCTGAAGTTAAATACTCTTCAAGTATGGTGTCGTGGGGGCAGTTTGAGTTCCCTATTCGTTCACTGCTCGCATTTGCTCGCCTCGCTATCAAGGGGATGTATGATTTTTTTAATATGGGTTTAAGCGCTTTCCCGGGAATGAAATTTGAGTCAACCAACGGTGAATAGTGAAGGAGGGGGAGGTGAGGAGTCGTCTTGGGTAGGGGGTTGGGAAGAAGACAGAATCGCTTTAATCTGCTAAATATAATTACGAGGAAGCGCTAAACGGGGTCGTGCAGCGCCGAGTGAAGTTAGAGCTAAGGATGGTAGCTTCAACAGGACCTAAATAGTGCTCTTCATCATCATGAAGGCTCCATCACCCGCCCTTTCATGTGGTTTATAAAGGTCTTTGCCTCGGACCATAAAATGTTTAAAGACTTTTAAATTCGTTGATATTTAAGGTTCTTGCCTTCTCTGCTGAGGCGAGTATAATGTGGTTGAAGTCTAGCTTTCATGAAGTCGCTGTTCAATATAGCGACACCATTCAAACGTTCTTGTCTAAATGAACATGTAATAATACTTCACCTGCTTCAGAAAACTGAAGGAAAGTTTACCTGAAACCATTTGTTGAACACTGTTGGCTTGCTTGTCTCCTAGCTTCCATTCCCCAGAAGCCTTCATCTTCCCTTGCTTCCGCATTACTGAGTACATTATCAAGATGTCTTTCTCTCTCCAGAAAATGATGAGTTTTGTAGCGCTGACTACCAGCAGCAGCAACAGGACAACAGTCAGATTAACGGTGACTTAGAGAAAAATGAATGTGCTGAGCTAGGAGGAAACGGCAGTCAGCTGGATAATTCAACGACGTCCCTGAAAGTGACGCAGGGTCCTTCAGCTACGTCACAGTTGCCCCTCGACGCAAACTTCAACTACACTTGTGCTGGAAAGAACGTTAACACTATCAAGCACACGTACACTGGAAAAATGATCCCCCAGGCCAACGCTTACGTATATGATGGGAATAAGGTGAACGCGGACGCAAACACCTATACATGTGCTGGAAAGACCCTTCTCAACACTGAGGTCAACAACAACAATGCTAGATGCGAGAAGTGCGACACCAGGAACAATAATAGCACAGACATCCTCACGGCCACCAATAACACTAACGAACAGTTTAACGAAATCTCTACAAGCATGAGAGATTCTTCGAAAAGTAAGCAGAACTGCGATGCTAACGAGGCCAGCAGCAGCAACTTGAACAAGGCGAGTCTCGGAGGAAGTTTGGGATAGTTTGATGTTGAATATATAGTGTAGAGTTGGTTATGTAGTTTCTTAGCCCACATTAGTTTGAATATCACTAACTGGTAAATGTGGATATTTTTTTTGGGTGGTTGTTGGCATTTCCTGACGGCATCACCCTTCCGCCTTGTAGTACCTACTGGTTTATGGCATTTTTCGTAGACATAATAAATTTTCATGTAAAACCAGTTATACTAAGTGTTTATTCTGCTACACTTTGGAAAAAAGAAAACTATCTTGCAGGTGTGGTCGCCGTCTACGCAGGACCTGAGTCGTACCGTGGACAAGATCCTGAGAACCTGCGGGGGATTAGGTGAGGGGCAACGCAAATATGACCTCTCCTACATGGGAGTGTCAGAAGCCCTCGGGGAAATGTTGCTTCAACACGGAGAGTTCCCTGCCACTCCCCTCGTTACTCCCACCCCGAGGTGACCTTACTAGAAATGTTGGAATGTTTGAGACCTGTAGGTGTTGCTTGAATCTTGACCTAACGATTGATTTTCTGTTAAAATTTATCTTTCTGATGTAACTCAGGCGGCCAAGTTGAAAACATTTTTAAAGCAAGATTGATATGCATATATATTAGCTGTCACGGGCATGAGTGTAGTTAATGTTAACTACACTACACTCGTGCCATGTGATTAATAAAATTTTATACAGTACTGTGCCTGATTTGACTACATAAGTCAAACTTAAAATAATTGGCCCCTGAATAGATTTTGGGGGGATTAATTTCGCTACTTGCTTCTTTCAAGCCAGCTAACGTTAAAGAAAAATTAACTGGCTTATTAGAAGCTATTTTTATCTTGTAGAAATGATTGACATACTACTGAAGATGTGTAAAGGTGAAGCTGTTATATATATTTAGACTTGCTGTACAAAAGTTTCATATATGCAAGGAGATGAAAATAAATATACAGTGAAAGGTCAGCCTGGGATATTAGCAGTGTTTATAACCGAACTTGACCCTTTCATACCCTGGTATATGTAAATTGATCAATATAAATATTTCTCCGGTTCATCACGCGTCACGGTGTGCTGGTAATCATGAAGCACTAATCTCGTAGGGGTCATGATAGCAGGATGACCGACAGTGTCAGTCCCTTAACATGGGAAATGGGAGGTAATCAAGATTTGATTGTATGAAGGGAAGATTAACACGAACAACTTGAACTAAGAGCTCCTCGCTGGCATCAAGGTAGTCATGAAAGTATTATTACTGAAGGTACCGCAGCACACCACTGGATACAGCACAAGCCAAGAGAGAGACGGCGGTAGACTTCAAGAACGGTACAATCTTCGGTTCGTCACTCTCCTCTTCTCAGAGCCTTCAATATAAACCTCACTTGCAGGTAAGCCATCTGCTGCCACTTACACTTTTGTGTGCAGAAGTCTCCTCACTTCTGTGGTATTCGTAGCATTAGAACTGAAATACGCAGCACCTCTTCACGCAACTTTCATTACACAAAGTAGCTGAAAATTTAATGACAATTTAATTCTCTATATTTTAGACAAAAAGTAATTCCATTGGAAGTATTGCAAGTATCCAGAGCCGAACGCCAGAAATAATGTAATGCCTTTAAATTAAAATAATTTAAAGTAATGAAAGTCTGTTTGCAGTATTCTCTGCTTTTGTTAATTGTTAGTTTTAATTTTTTTATTTAAAACATCATATTACAACATTATATATATATATATATTATATATATATATATACATACACAATAAAACCATCGTCCCTCACCAAAAAGGTTTACAATAAAGAATTCATAATCACAATACACTATATAAATTGCGCTACGTGCTACGTTCTCAGTCGCTATATACACTTCGAGCCGCCTAGGATGCTCATAATCTACAGTTTTAAAATTAACGATTCAGGAGTTAGGGGAGGTGACGTTCTCCCTGGCGCCAGGCGGAGACCATCTCTCCTCAGCACCACACATGATGACAACACCTGAGGAGCCGTTCACCGGCGCTACACCCAGGCTTAACCTCGGCTGCCAGGTGAGGTTCACAAACATCAAGTATCGTCAGATTTGTTTTATCTTCTACGTCTCCCATCTTTTTGTTCTGTTCGTCAACTTTCTTCACGCCTGATGAAATATGATTGACAAAAAATACATGAAACTTGACAAATATTTAATGTTTACTTTGAACCACTGTGGTATTATTATTTAACATGTTAAGTACGTCCATCATTCATTAATCTAAGTATTAGTGTATTAATATCCTTTAAATTTACATTGTAGAAGAAAGTAATAAAGAATTGAATGACTGCATATGTGAAATATTCTACTGTAAGCAGGATCATTATTTCAAAATGTAGCACTTATTTTATTTTTGCATATATCATAACGTTCGATCAAATGCCTCTATATGCTCTTTGAAAAATCGAATGTGGCAACACCCAAGACTTCGTTGTTGCAGTTAATACCTCCAAGGTGCTAATTACCTTTGGCAGTCAAAGCTCTCAATGTTTCATTCCAACAACTTCATTAAAGAATGAAGCCTGCAGCCTGTGTACAGACGTAACGATCTCTTTAAAGTTAGGTATCTGGCTGTTAGGCCGTTATGGGTCGCATCCCACAGCGTGTTAGTATACATTAGATAGGGCTTTGTTTTGAAATGAGCTGAAGTAGGATAACAGCTCTTAACCTATAAATTATATGGTGCCCCGTTGCCCCCCCCCCTTCCTCTACAGCAAACTCCACCAGGATCTCTTCCGTCCATCATGTCCTGGGGTGGTAGCGAGGCTGAGGGGGCGTGGCCAGCCATATCACCTTTCTTCTCCTCGCTGGGTTCTGTCTCCCTAGCCACCTCCAACACCCACAGTGAAGCACCATCCTTTCCCCTTCCCCAGATGAACGAGATCCCACACGGGAAAAGGTGAGCAGTTATGGATGTAGTGAATTGTGGTCTTAAGTTATAGTAATGCCAATAACTGCGGAAGGTATTGTAGTCACTTTGACTTTCTTGGATTATCCCAGGTAATTATATTACGTGTTACTATATATAATTGTACGTGTGTGTACCTGTATCTAAATAAACTTGGTAACACTAAGTTTACTGGGAGGAGGGTGTTAATAGCATGCAAAGAGCTAAAAGACCTTATTACCGTGGCAGACAGGAGATGTTCTCTACACAGTACCAGGACTGGCCAGAGGCAAGAACCACTCGTCACTCCTACCTTGCTCAGCACCACTCTGTACTCTCCCAGTACAACCCTAGTCAAGCCCAGCACCACACTTCTTACCCCCAGCAACACACTTCTTCATCTCAGCACTACCACCTCCAGGCCCAGCGCCATCCCCAAACAGTTTACCAGACACTCTGTACAGACAAGGTGTGTGTTCATTTAACCTCTTAAAACCAATTTTTTTTTTTTTATTTGTCGGGGATGTTTAAGATATTGAACCCTTTTTCCTACATAGTTAAAGCGAGACACTGTCCAGCCAATAATGCCATTATTACTCTGTAGTAATGGTCGAAGAAACAACAAATCTTCCACTTTTATAAAATTTGATTGTCAAGTGATTACAAGTTAAGCTCGGTTCATAGGTTGGCTTTAACTTTAACCTGGTGAGACTATATAAAGTTCTTAAAGCTGGTAGGCCTTGAAACGGGATGAAGTAGTCTGAAGATACTTCTTTTTAAGGCTCTCCTTGAATACTACTGAACAATAAAAAACTATATTAAACAGAGCGAAAATGTGTGAAGCTGATGACTTAGTTTAAGTAAATCAAAAGTAAACCTCTTTAATATGCTTTATTGTACACTACGGTAAAGCCAGCCAGAATTTTTTTTCATTAAACTGTATACTTCCTTCTACGCGCCACTGAGCTGAACAACCTTGGTTTACCAGGCGGTGGTGGGCGGGATGGCCCCAGGTGCAGCAGCCAGCGGTGTCTCCCCCAGGAGAGCTCTGATCCAAGACGTGGTGTTGAGGGAGTCGACCAGGGCGTTCCGCTCCCACCCTCTCTTTCCCTTGCTGAAGGACCTCGCAGTTACTGACTACTACTTCGATAAGGCCAATTTCAACGTTGGTCAGTGGCTGGCGTCTGTTGATGGTTGTGGTGGAATGTCGTGGGTAAAGTGGGATTTTTCAGCTTCAAAATGTAAGAGTGTTGTGCAGGGTTACTGACAGCTATGTTGTGTGCTTTATTCTGGTCGTAGTGTAAACATCGACAACATGGCTTGACTCAAACTTTAATTTTTACCTCAGATTTGTTTGCAATAAAGGACACTGTTTTAGTACATTAAAGTATTAAAAAAAAACCTTGTCGTAAACTTGAAACAGCCAGTTAAAACTTAATAACGCTCGTATCACAACGTTGCTAGTATGTTCGCGGTAAATAAAAAAAAAATTAAGACCCTTCATTTTTTTGTTTTTAATACTCTATTTTGTCGATTAAGGCTGTGGCGCATGCATCACACACGGCTGAGACCTTCACTGAAATCTGAGGATACATTATGGATTAAATAGTGACTTTATTACAACCTGTTAAGATTCCCCTTATTGCTACAAGAACTGTTTTAATTTGTACTGTGGTTTTACTGTTGTGGTGGTTTAAATCAGTGTTGAATGGTGAAATTTAACTAGAACCCGTTCCCACTCAGCCGCCTGTTTGCAGAAGTTTAATATGCTACGTTTGGCTTGCTGTTGTGACGCACGTTTAGTTGTACGTTATGAAGGTAAGTTTAGGGGGTTTAAATTTAAATTATAATATAATCCATTATTTAAACTAAGATTTTTAGTCTCGTGGCATATTTGATGGAAGTACATAAATTTTATGGCCTTTTAGCTGGTTATGTGGATCTTTCAGGCCATAACATTCTTTTAATTTTAGCTTAAGCAGACACAAATCAGCGTGTACCATGGACACTGTTTTAAACTGCTAAGTGTCGCGGTTGAGTCTTCTATGTGGGTATATCTGACATTCTCTAGATCCCGTGAAACCTGAAAACTCGATTCATTTCCCCAAGCTCTTGTATAACCCTTGTGAAGTGCTTACTACCACCTCAAGGGAGGTTCCTTGACGCTGGTGAGGGGCTCTTGATCTAGGGAATTGGATCTGTGCTCAGGTTCCCTGAGTTGAGCCTGAATACCTTCCATCCCCCCCCCCTCATGTGCTGTATAATCCTACGGGTTTAGCTCTCCCCATGATTATAATAATAGTGCTTACTATTGGTAAGTTGTGTGTCCGCCCACAGCGCCGCTGCTGTCCTTCCTGCCTCCTTCCACGGAGGACCTGGTGACTCTCTACTTGCGCAGGAACCCCGAGGCCGCTCAAGCCTACCAGAATAAACACGCCTCCCCGCGCACACAAACTATTGACGCTGTAATATTCGACGCTGTAACATATGCTCACGCTTCACTAATGAGTAAGTTACTTGTATTTGTGGTTCTTCCTGCATTCAACATAGAGGATTTTGTGAATGGCAGTTAAGAATTAGAGGCGTAGCAGACAATGGAAGAGCATGTTCACGAACACCTATGCATACATATACTCCTATTTACAAACGAACTCCTCTGCACATGCACACGAGATGGGAGGTAAGGATAAAAATGTTTGATGCTTTTTGCAGAGCGAGTAGTGACTCAGGTGACGAAGCTGAGTGAGGTGATGGAGGCGGAGCCAGCAGAAGTAGAGGAGGCGGTGGAGGACTTGTGTCAGCGGTACATAGAGGTGGTGCGTTCCTCCACTCCTCTGCATTTGATACATGCCTTCGACACCAGCTCTCAAGCCTCGCCGCAACAACAACAATCTGGTAAACAAATTAGTTTGTATAAGAGTATTGGTATCTAAATTAATGTAAATGTTTAGTCTTCACTACGCTAAACTGGTGTTAATAGGGTGATGGCCAAATGGATCTTGTCACCTTTGAAACTTCTTGGTATGACAAGTGAGGTAAACAAGGGTTAAATTCAGCCATACCGTGGATGTGTCAAGGTGAAACTTTTCTGACAGCATCACAATGTGCAGCGAGCGTGGAAGTCGGTGAGGCGGAGAGAGGAGTGCGGGAGCCATTTCAGCAGCTGGAGCACTTGCTGGCACCTTTCTCACCCATTCCTCACTCCTGCAACACACAGGACTCGTCAGAGACTCGGAGGAGGAGGAGCTGTCATTCTCGAGAGGTGGGCAACACTCTTGACAAGCTTCTTGAAGCTTCATTTTTATAGCCTAAGAGCTATTATTCTACCTTAGAAACTTTTCTTGGCCTTTCCTTGAAGCTAGATGATTTTACTATAATTATCTGTCCAGGGAAAGAACCTATAATCTTAGATTATCTGAACATTTTAAGAGACTGACTTCTCTCGTCTATGCATTTAAAATTTGTCTGAAAGCGAGCAGAAAGCATTTATAATTTGTGACGTTAGCAAACAGATGCTGAATGATCCTTGTAGGTTTAGCGCTTCATTTTTTAATATAACAGGAATTAGTTTCATTTTTCTTGCATATCACTTGGAAGAGTTCAGAATTATATTGCACTAGTTTATGCTTTGATGCCTCTTCAAAGGGGGCTCCTTGGCGTGGTGAAGAGGCTCTTGGTCTAAGGAATTAGACCTGTCGGTCTACTTCCTCAGACTGAACCTAATTACCCCCCAATCCCCCGTTCCCTATCCCATCCTCCCCATCCTCCCCTTTTTCCTTTCCTCCAACTCCTCCCCATCCCTCCCTTTTGCCCTTCCTTTTTGGCCTTTTTTTTTCCCACAGGCATGCTAGTTCCTAGGTAGGGGAAAGGGTACCGGGGTCCATACCATTCCGTTGAGGTTCTTGGCGGTGGCGTAGTTTGCCGTGGAATCTGGATTGCCTGGGGATGTCCTGATCCCTCTCCGGTATCCCGGAGGGTGGCTTTGGGTGTCTCTCGGGCAACAGGTGTATCTCTGGAAGCCACCTTTCGGATTCCGGGGGTGGTGGCCGAAGGAGGTATGCTTTGTGGCAGATTTCCGGCCGCCCTCTCTTTTGTCCACCGAGGTAGCTCGGCAGATGTGAGGTTGCTATCCCGGATTGCCGGTTTACTGGCATGATGGGTAGGGTATGGCACAGGTTCCATGCTGCATCTGCGCAACTTGCGGTGCTGAGGTCCTCTTGGGCGCGGAGGGAGATTTCTGGCCCTTTCATTCCTCCTAGGAACTATCCCTCCCCCGTCCCCCCTTTTTTTATTCTTTTTTTATTTTCTTTTTTCTTTTTTTTCTTAAAAACAAAAAGAAAGAACCTAACCATGGCAGCCCTAGTCCATGAACCTGCTACCCCCAGGCCCCTTCTTGATACCGCACCCCGTTCTGACCCCGCCTCGTCTTTGGACCACTCTTCAGACACTCCTTATGCCTCTGTACCTCTTGCCGGTGCTGTTTCCTCACCCGCTTCAGGTACTGAGGCCTCGACTGACTCCTTCGATTTATCTGACCTTCGCTCTCCTGGCCCGTTCCACGTCGGACCAACTCTGGTCCCATGCCTAAACGACAACGACAATTACCTGCTGATGATACTTCTCCACCTTCTCGTTCTTCTCAGAAAAGATCGACACGTCCTTCACTACCTTTCCACGCTCAGTTTCAGACTGCACAATGGACTAAATTCTTCACTTTACGACCGACTTCCTCTACTGCCTATCTTTCTGACCACAGTATTGGCAAGGCACTCCTACGCCATGTTGGTAAAGATATTTCTTTTCATGCTCTTAAGAGCGGTACGCGCATCGTCACCGTACAGAATGCTACCCAGGCTCATGAGCTTTCTCGTCTTTCCCATATCGATACTCGTATGACACCTCCTCCCAATCGTCCCTCTACTTCGCAGAAGTCTAAAAAAGGTCTGTTAACACCTACCCATCTTCCACCTCCTCATTTTCCCTTCCCTGTCTCTGTACCTGGTTCTCCCCCTCTCACTGGCTCTGTTACTAGTGTAGAGGTTCACCCTCCTCCTCGTACTGTACCTTCCTCCCCTGTTCCCTCCCAAGTTTCTTCCTCTTCTGCCACCTCCCAGGTTTCTGCCTCTTCTGTCCCCTTCCACGCTTCTACAGTTCCCTCCACCCTTTCGCCCCCCCTACCTTCGTACAGTCCATTACAGTTCCAATCTTTACTCATCCTCCCCCTACCATTTCCAATATTGTCTCCCATACGACGTCTCTGAATTCTGAAACACTTGAAGCAATCTCTGAATATATTGCAGAGACCAAACCATCAATGGACACTGATCCACCCTCCGCTCCTTCTCTCTCCTCTACTCCATCTGCGCAACTCCTTTCTTCACAGCGCACCGTTCCTTCGCTGCTTGAACGTTTTCCACTGCCTCCGCATGTGGACTTTTCTAACCCCTCTAGTCTGTAGGAACCCTTACCTGCGGATTTCAGATATCTTTATCATTGCCAATCATGGCCTATTTACAGTGGAATATATGCGGTCTCAGGGGTAATTGGGGTGAGCTTCAGATGTTACTCTCCCAGTTTTCCCCTGTTAGTGTTTGCTTACAGGAACCAAAATTACACTCTGCTGTTATCTCTACCATCTCAGGCTATAATTTATTGTATTCTTCAGATTCTTTTCCTGATGGGACCTTTAATGAAAGTGCCCTTCTTCTATGCACTGATATTCCATACCATCAGCTATTTGTTCGTACTTCGCTGCATTACACAGCAGCCCGTATCCATTTGCATAGGTGGTATACGCTCTGTTCTTTATATCTCTCTCCTTCTCGGGCATTATCTATTCCGGATATTGCCTTTCTTGTTTCGTCATTACCACCACCGATTCTGTTGGTGATTTTAACGCCCACCATTTCCTCTGGGGGGGGGTCTCACTGTGATTCCCGTGGCATTCAGTTAGAGGCTTTTCTTGCCACCCACCCCCTCCATGTTTTAAATACAGGTACTCGCACCCATTTTGATCCTCGGACTAACACTCTCTCTTGCATCGATCTCTCAGTCTGCTCTTCCTCCGCCGCATTAGACTTCACTTGGTCTGTTCTTCCAGACTTACATGACAGCGATCATGTCTCAATCATTCTTACTTCCCCTTCATATTCACCACCTCTTCGCATCCCACGCTGGCAATTTGATCAGGCAAATTGGAACCTTTACTCACACCTAACTGTTTTTAGAGAGGTTCCTTCTTTGTCCTCCATCGATGAGCTTTTACAACTCTTCTCGTCCTCCGTTTTAACCGCAGCTTCTCATTCTATACCCCAAACTTCGGGCAGGCATTCTCAGAAATGCGTGCCTTGGTGGTCTCCTGCTTGTGCTCGTGCAGTATGTTTGAAATGCGCTGCATGGGACAGGTACCGGTACAATAGAACCACAGAGACTTTTTGATTTTAAGCAGAAGCTTGCGATCGCTCGCCGTGTCATCTGTGACGCTAAACGCACTTGCTGGCGAGATTGTCTCCACCATCACCTCTGCTTCCTCTGAGTGCAGTCTGGAAAAAAGTACGAAAACTGAGTGGTAAATATTCTCGTGACCCGGCTCTGTTCTGTGGGTTGCCGGTGTTGATATAGCAAACCCACTAGATGTTGCCAATGAAATTGGCAATCATCTGGTCTGTATTTCTCAGGGACTCCATCTATGCCCCTCATTTCTTTCCTCAGTCTGCCAGAGAGTTAGCACCCTTGGACTTTTCTTCTCTCAGAGAAGAAACAGTATAAATGTGCCTTTACACTTCAAGAACTGGAGGCAACACTCTCAGCTTGTCGATCATCGGCAGCTGGGCCCGACGACATTCATATTCGTATGCTACAACATTTACATCAGTCAGCCCTTGCAGTCCTATTATGCCTTTACAATCTTATTTGGTCACAAGGAGTTCTTCCACAGCTGTGGAAATCCACCATTGTTCTCCCTTTCCGCAAACCAGGCACTACGGGACATGAAAACTCCCACTATCGTCCCATTGCTCTTACCAGTGCAGTTTGCAAAGCAATGGAATGCCTAGTAAATAGACGTTTAGTGTGGTATTTAGAGACACACAACAGTCTCTCCACTCGTCAATATGGCTTTCGTAAGGGACGTTCTACCATAGACCCCTTACTACACTTGGATACGTATGTTCGTAATGCCTTTGCGAGTAACCACTCAGTTATTGCCATATTTTTTGACCTTGAGAAGGTATATGACACAACTTGGAGGTATAATATTTTAGCCCAAGCCCACTCCTTAGGCCTTCGAGGCAATCTACCATCCTTCCTTAAGAACTTTTTAACTGACAGGCATTTCCGTGTTCGGGTTAATGTGCTCTCCCCGGACTTTATCCAAGCTGAAGGTGTCCCCCAGGGATGTGTTCTGAGCACAACACTTTTTCTCCTTGCTATTAGTGATTTGGCCTCTAGTCTTCCATCAAATATTTGGTCATCATTCTATGTTGATGACTTCGCTATTGCCTGTGCTGGCGCTGACTGTCACCTTATTACAGTTTCTCTCCAGCATGCAGTCGACCGTGTTTCCAATTGGGCAACCACACGTGGGTTTAAATTTTCCAGCACTAAAACCCACCAAATTACTTTCACTAGACGCTCTGTCATCTCCGATCATCCTTTGTACCTCTATGGCTCCCGTATCCCTGAACGTGATTGTCAAGTTTCTGGGCCTCCTTTGATCGTAGGTTATCCTGGAAACCTCACATTACCTCTCTGAAGGCAACTTGTCACAGCCGGCTGAACCTTCTTAAAACCCTTGCTCATCTTTCATGGGGAGCTGATCGTCGAAACCTCCTTCGCCTACATTCCACCCTTATCTTATCGAAACTTGATTATGGTGACCAGATCTATTCAGCGGGATCTCCTGCTACTCTCTAGCCTTAACCCCATTCATCACCAAGGATTACGTTTATGCCTTGGAGCTTGGAGCTCTTCCCCTGTCGAGAGCCTCTATGCAGAAGCGAACGTTCCATTCTTATCCGATCGCCGTGATGCCCATTGCCTTCGCTACTATGTACGCTCTCATGATCTCCGCAATCCTTCCATTTATAGAATGGTCACTGATATTAGTAGACATTCTTTATTTTTTCGCCGCCCCTGTTTACTCCGTCCCTTCTCTCTTCGCCTTCATTCGCTCTTGTCTTCTCTTCAATTACCACCTTTCTATGTACATGTAGCATCTCACTTTTCCCTACCCCCCTGGGAAGTTCCAGCTGCTCGAGTCTGTTCTTTCTCTCTCCCTTCTCGAAAGCCCAACTGTCTACGGTCGCTTCCCGCTCTTTTTCTTGACAACTTTCACTCTCATTCTCATGCCATTGCTATGTACACAGATGGCTCTAAGTCTTCTGATGGCGTAGGATTCGCAGCAGTGTTTCCGGACAGCGTCGTACAAGGGCATTTACTATCTTCGGCTAGTATTTTTACTGCTGAATTGTATGCCATCTTTACAGCACTTATCCGTATTGCATCTATGCCTGTCATCATCATTTGTGGTTGTCTCAGACTCCCTTAATGCTTTACAGGCTATACAGAAATTTGATACACCTCACCCCTTAGTCCTCCGTATCCAACTTTAGCTACGCCGCATCTTTACCAAGCATAAAGATATTGTTTTTTGTTGGGTCCCTGGTCATGTTGATGTACAGGGCAATGAACAGGCAGACACTGCTGCGCGGTCAGCAGTACATGACCTACCAGTTTCATGTAGAGGTATTCCATTTACGGACTATCTTGCTGCAATATCTTCCCAACTTCACACCCGTTGGCAACAACGTTGGTCTAATATGCTTGGCAACAAACTTCAATCTATTAAACCGAGTATAGGTTACTGGCAGTCTTCTTATCACCAGTGTCGAGGTTGGGAGACTACTCTCTCCCGTCTTCGCATTGGCCATACTCGTCTTACTCGTGGATATCTCGTGGAGAGGCGCCCTGCTGCTCTCTGTGAGAATTGCCAAGTTCCATTATCAGTCAGCCACATTCTGTTGGACTGCCCACTTTATCAACGAGCACGCAGAATTTACCTCCGTCGTCGTCTTCGCTCCACTGCTCTCTCTACCTTCCCTTCTCGCTGATGGACCCACCTTTCATCCGGACTCTCTCATTGACTTTTTGACAACTGACTTACTTCACAAATTCTGATCCCTTCAGCCTTTCTACTTCAATTCTTGCTACCTCTACCCCCGTACTATCCCTGCTCCGCTGTTTTCTGTAACCTACTGATCATCCCTCCTCCCTTCTGCCATCCAATACCTCGCTTCCTTCCCTACCCTGCAGCGCTGTATAGCCCTTGTGGCTTAGCGCTTCTTTGTGATTATAATAATAATAATATGCTTTGATGTTTTAGTCTGTTTCACAGTCAAAAGTGCAGAATGTTGTTGCAGGTTTATCAAATGTTGTCATCGTGGCTGTTCGACCACCACCATCACCCGTACCCTGACGACGACCAGAAGGTGTTCTTGATGCAACAGACAGGGTTGTCTGCACAGCAGATCAATCAGTGGTTCATCAACGCCCGCAGACGTCTGCTGCCTCGTCTGAAGGCTGAGCAAGGCAAAGAGTAAAGATTCGAAGGGTTGAATAAATTAAGATCATTAGTAGACGAAGAAAACGGAAAAGCTTTGTTGGGAAGGAGAAATGTCTCAAGTTACAAGGTCGAAAAGATGGATGAAATTTATAATGTTCATAAAGTCAACAGAGATCTTGATGTAAAAGTTCAGCCAAAGGTAGTTGCATAATCTGTAAAAAAAACATTATGTAAGATGCATTCAAAGCAGTTTTGAAAAGTTCCTCAGCACTGCTTACTATTTAATATTACAGTATTTTAGGAAATATAGAAAATCCCAGTCCAGAGATATAACAAAAGCATATCCTAACCTGGCTTAATTTTTAGCTAATATTTTAAAAACTCGTACCAGTGACCATGGAAAAATTTGCCACCCACACGAGAGCTAATGTAATTAATGTAATCTTCATAACTGGTGGTGCCAATGCACAATGAAATGTATTCTCTAGATGTACAAAATTTCCTTAATAAACCTTCATATTATTTTTTTTGAACATTATCGTGTACCAGGTTACATGACTCGTTTAAAGCGATCTCCGGTTTTATATGTATTGCATTTTGGGTAAATAAAACGGTTATAAGAGTCTTCTGGACCTAATTATCTTAACCACAGCAAGTTGTGCCATTATTAATGAGCGCTAAACCAGGAAGGGTCGTAAAGCACCTGGAAATGGAAGGCAATAAGGTTAGATTCAATGATGGTGGTGGTTAAATAAAATTATTTTCAAGTGTCCCTTATCAGCCCAATGTAGCCTCTTGAATGCGCCATTACTAAGGTAACAAGGTTTGGCCTTAAATGGGGTAGGAGGGGGGGTTCCATGATGGGCTGAAGGGGAGGGAGGGAAGAAAAGCTCAAGATCCAAGGATTTTATCTAGCCATCTCCGTGGAGGTGCCCTGATATAGGAGAGATTCTCTCGATCCGAGACTATACTCTACTTTCTCGTGGACTGAACCTGAATGTCTTTCATTACGGAGGTTGGTTGGGGAGTCTGTTCATCTTATTCCACTGAGCTTTTTGGTGGCAGTGTTTGCCGTGGAATCTGGTTCCACCCTCTGGAGTCCCGGAGGGCGGCTTAGTGTTCTTCGGGTGACGGGTGTATCTGAAGGCTGCCTGTCAGTTCCGAGATGTGGTGGCCCTGTGGCGGGCTTCTGCTCGCCCTCTTCTATTCGCCGAGGTGGCTCTGTAAATGTGAAGTTATCTTGCATTGCCGGTTTACCGGCAGGGCAGGGTACAGGTTCCACCTCATCTGCACTACCGGCTGCACTGAGGGCACTCTTCGGTTCTCAGTGAGGCCGGAAAGGAAAGAGAAAAGAACTTAATTGGAGTCCCATGTCCCTGAAATTCCTTTCCCTGGATACCTTTCTCCTGTGGTATATCCTCACGACACTGTCTCGTCTTTAGACCGTTATTCGGACCTCTAACAAACTGGTACCTTCTTTGGGTAAAATCATTGCCCACTTCTGGTACAGAGGTTCTGTCTGACCCTCTTGATACGTCCGACCTCTGCTCGTTTTTGACTGTTTCCGGCTTCATCCTCTACAGTGCGACGATTTTTCAGATTGTCCATTGGTCTCGGGACGAACTACCACTTATCCCTCACTTTAACGACTATGATCATAATGAATAACACTCGGTTTCCTCTCGCTCTTCCCACAAACGACCAGCATGACACTTACACTCTACGTTTCATGATTTACAATGGACTAAGTTCTTCACTCGACAACCGACATCTCCCACTGTCTTTCAGATCACATAATCAGCAAGGCGCACTATGCCATGTGGGTCAAAATGTTTCATGCTAAGAGTGGTGCACACATCGTAATAGTGCAAAATACTGGAGATGTTCGCAATCTTTCTCTTACTTCCATTGACTATATTCCTGACAGATTCATACACATCTCTCGACTCTTGCAGTGAAGTGGAATATAAGTTCTTCCACATACCACTGTTCGACGTGATTTCCTAACTTGTGATGCAGACATTATGGAACGACTTGAGCTCAAAGACTTCCCAGTTCTTAAAGTGAGCATTTAACAAAATACCTGCCAGGGGGCCGGAGACTTTCCCTACAATATAGCCTGGTTAACTTTTGACTGCCGTGCACTTCCATCCTCTGTTAACATTTGCAGTACACCTTTATAAGTACGAGAATTGATCCCCACACCACAACAATGTAAAAATTGCTGGTGCTTTGGCCACCTGGCGAAACATTGTAGGACTATGGCAGTGTGCCCTCTTCAAGCGGGGCTCCTTGGCGTGGTGAAGAGGCTCTTGGTCTGAGGAATTAGACCTGTCGGTCTTCTTCCTCAGACCGAACCTAATTACCCCCCAATCTCCCCTCCCCTATCCCATCGTCCCCTTTTTCCTTTCCTCCTCCTCCTCCCCACCCCTCCCTTTTGCCCTTCCTCTTTTTGGCCTTTGGGATTTCTCCCACAGGCGCGCTAGTTCCTAGGTAGGGGAAAGGATACCGGGGTCTATCCCATTCTGTTGAGGTTCTTGGCGGTGGCGTAGTTTGCCGTGGAATCTGGATCGCCTGGGGATGTCCCGATTCCTCTCCGGTATCCCGGAGTAGCTTTGGGTGTCTTTCGGGCGACGGGTGTATCTCTGGAAGCCACCTTTCGGATTCCGGGGGTGGTGGCCGAAGGAGGTATGCTTTGTGGTGGATATCCGGCCGCCCTCTCTTTTGTCCACCGAGGTAGCTCGGCAGATGTGAGGTTGCTATTCTGGATTGTTAGTTTATTAGCATGATGGGTAGGGTATGGCACGGGTTCCATGCTGCATCTGCGCTACTTACGGTGCTGAGGTCCTCTTGGGCGCGGAGGGAGATTTCTGGCCCTTTCATTCCTCCTAGGAACTATCCTCCC